TTCTTGTGCACCTCCAGCCTTCTCAGTCAGTAGAGCATGGGAAGCTGAAAAGTCCTTGACTAGTGTAAGCACTACCTAGCAACAACTAAAACATCGGTGTGTTATCAACATTGTTCTCCTAAATCCAAAACACAGCACTGTACCAGCTACTAAGAAATTAACTCTATCCCTGCCAAAACCAGGACATATGAGCTTGGTCCAGAGCCACTGGCATGGGGCACCACTGGCAAGAACCTGGCTCCATCCGCTTTGCACCCTCCCTTTGGGTATTTATATACATTAGTAAGATTCCCCCTGAGCCTGCTCTGCTCCAGGCTGAACAGTCCCAGCTCTCTCAGGCTTTCCTCATAGCAGAGATGCTCCAGCCCCTGCAGCATCTTCGCGGCCCTTGGCTGGACTCTCTCCAGTATGCCCATGTCTTTCATATTGGATAGTCCCTCAGCCTTTCCTCATAGCAGAGATGCTCCAGCCCCTGCAGCATCTTCGCGGCCCTTGGCTGGACTCTCTCCAGTATGCCCATGTCTTTCATATTGGATAGTCCAGCACTGGACCCAGCACTCCAGCTGTGGCCTCCCCACTGCTGAGCAGAGGGGAAGGATCACCTCCCTTGACCTGCTGGCAACGCTCATCCTAATGCAGCCCAGGACACCCTTGGACACCTTTGCTCCTGGTCAGCTTGGTGTTCACCAGGACACCCAGGTCCTTCTCTGCCAAGCTGCTTTCCAGCTGGCCAGCTCCCAGCCTGTCCTGGTGCCTGGGCTTGTTCCTCCCCAGGAGGAACTTGTTGAATTTCATGAGGTTCCTGCTGGCCCGTTTCTCCAGCCCACCCAGGTCCCTCTGGACACCAGCACACCCATCGGGTGAACCAGCCACTCCTCCATGTACTTTATAAGTACAAGCATGGAAAGGTTGGTCCTGGCTGAGCAGGCGTCCTACCAGCAGTGGTCAGGACATTCCCCCCAGTACCCCTGATTTCACTGAGAAAACTCCCGCCGACTTGGCTGTGAGCAGGACTGGGCTTTGTGAAGTGAGAGATCTGCTCTCTGCCCACTGCAGACGTAAAATCAGCAATAAAACAGCACTAGTGGTGCAAGTCCCGACTAGTTAGGGGGTCCAGGCTGTTGGCGAGTTTGGGGGACAGCATCTGCCCCAGCACCGTGTGAAGGTGGACAAGAGCCCTGTTTGCTAATGAAGCAGATGCT